GCCGAAGCGAAGTCTGCGCCCGGCACATTATAGGTCGTAATGAGAGCGGAATCAGCCAACTCCATCTAATCCCAACAAGTGTCTTTGGCCCAACGAGGCTTAAACGAGTCTCCATGTGTGCGCCGCCAGAGCCCGTCCACCGCGCCGAATATGTGTTCAATAATTCTTTTAGGAGGTGTGATTCCTTTTAGCCGGCGCCAAAGCATACAGCTGGGATCCAGCGAGGGTGTACGTGTGTCTGCCTCACCGCCGCTGTCTTGGCTACCGTCACCTGACGCACGTGAGAACGACACGCTCGCGTTTTAAACACAGCGCTTTCATCTCTCTTCTCCCTCGAGTAGAGAAAATACATTTTCACACGCAGGAAAAAAATAAAATCCAGCCGTCAACCTCTTTTGTTTTATCAGAGGGCAGCATGGGGGCTAAGCGGTTGGCTTGCGGCGCTGAGGTCTGTGGTACATTTCTGGCCGGGGTTACCGTCTGTGTTGGGATCGTAGAGGCTCCCTTTTGTTTTGGTTTCTTCCCAAAAAACGTAGGAGGCTCCCTTTAATTTTTTTTTTATGGTTTCTTCCCAAAAAAAGTAGGAGGCTCCCTTTTTTTTTTTTTTAGGTTTCTTCCCAAAAAAACGTAGGAGGCTCCCTTTTTTTTTCAGCTTTCATCCCAAAAAAACGTAGGAGGCTCCCTTTTTTTTTTTTTTTTTTTTATGGTTTCTTCCCAAAAAAACGTAGGAGGCTCCCTTTTTTTTTTTTTTTGTTTCTTTTCAAAAAACATAGGAGGCTCCCTTTTTTTTTATAGGAGGGGTTTACAATTGCCTTCCTCTTTAACCCCTGTGTTGGGATCATAGAGACTCCCATTTTTTTTGGTTTCTACCCAGAAAACATAGGAGGCCCCCTTTTTTTTTTAATAGGAGGGATTTACAATTGGCTTCCTCTTTAGCCACTTCCAGTCTGGACTCTTTCCCCCCCTTCCAGTCCGGACACTTTCACCCCCCTTCCAGTCCGGACACTTTCCCCCCCCCTTCCAGTCCGGACACTTTCAACCCCCTTCCAGTCCGGACACTTTCACCCCCCTTCCAGTCCGGACACTTTCCCCCCCTTCCAGTCCGGACACTTTCAACCCCCTTCCAGTCCGGCCAATTCCCCCCCTTCCAGTCCGGACACTTTCCCCCCCTTCCAGTCCGGACACTTTCACCACCCTTCCAGTCCGGACACTTTCCCCCCCTTCCAGTCCGCACACTTTCAACCCCCTTCCAGTCCGGACACTTTCCCCCCCCTTCCAGTCAGGACACTTTCCCCCCCTTCCAGTCTGGACACTTTCAACCCCCTTCCAGTCTGGACACTTTCACCCCCTTCCAGTCCGGACACTTTCACCACCCTTCCAGTCCGGACACTTTCCCCCCCCTTCCAGTCCGCACACTTTCAACCCCCTTCCAGTCCGGACACTTTCACCCCCTTCCAGTCCGGACACTTTCCCCCCCTTCCAGTCCGCACACTTCCCTCTCTTCCAGTCCAGACACTTTCACCCCCTTCCAGTCCGGACACTTTCACCCCCTTCCAGTCCGGACACTTTCACCCCCTTCCAGTCCGCACACTTCCCCCTCTTCCAGTCCGGACACTTTCCCCCTCTTCCAGTCCGGACACTTTCACCCCCTTCCAGTCCGGACACTTTCCCCCCTTCCAGTCCGGACACTTTCACCCCCTTCCAATCCGGACACTTTCCCCCCTTCCAGTCCGGACACTTTCACCCCCTTCCAGTCCGGACAGTTTCACCCCCTTCCAGTCCGCACACTTCCCCCTCTTCCAGTCCGGACACTTTCCCCCCCTTCCAGTCTGGACACTTTCACCCCCTTCCAGTCCGGACACTTTCACCACCCTTCCAGTCCCCGGACACTTTCCCCCCCCTTCCAGTCCGGACACTTTCAACCCCCTTCCAGTCCGGACACTTTCACCCCCTTCCAGTCCGGACACTTTCACCCCCTTCCAGTCCGGACACTTTCCCCCCCTTCCAGTCCGCACACTTCCCTCTCTTCCAGTCCAGACACTTTCACCCCCTTCCAGTCCGGACACTTTCACCCCCTTCCAGTCCGGACACTTTCACCCCCTTCCAGTCCGGACACTTTCACCCCCTTCCAGTCCGCACACTTCCCCCTCTTCCAGTCCGGACACTTTCCCCCTCTTCCAGTCCGGACACTTTCACCCCCTTTCCAGTCCGGACACTTTCCCCCCTTCCAGTCCGGACACTTTCACCCCCTTCCAATCCGGACACTTTCCCCCCTTCCAGTCCGGACAGTTTCACCCCCTTCCAGTCCGCACACTTCCCCCTCTTCCAGTCCGGACACTTTCACCCCCTTCCAGTCCGGACACTTTCCCCCCTTCCAGTCCGGACACTTTCACCCCCTTCCAGTCCGGACACTTTTCCCCCTTCCAGTCCGGACACTTTTCCCCTTCCAGTCCGGACACTTTTCCCCCTTCCAGTCCGGACACTTTCACCTCCTTCCAGTCCGGACACTTTTCCCCCTTCCAGTCCGGACACTTTCCCCCCCTTCCAGTCCGGACACTTTCCCCCCCTTCCAGTCCGGACACTTTCACCCCCTTCCAGTCCGGACACTTCTCCCCCCTTCCAGTCCGGACACTTTCACCCCCTTCCACTCCGGACACGTTCCCCCCTTTCCAATCCGCACACTTTCCTCCCCTTCCAGTCCGGACACTTTCCTCCCCTTCCAGTCCAGGCTAATTTTCAGCTTTCAGCGCTATCACACTTTGAATGACAATTGCGCGGTCATGCAACACTGTACCCATATGAATTTTTTAACAATTTTTTACAGATAAACTTTATTTTGGTGGTATTTATTCACTACTGGGATTTTTTTTTTTTTTGCTATATAAATGGGAAAAAGTCCAAACATTTTGAAACAAAAGTGTTTATCTTATAAAATTTTGCAAATAAATAATCTTTCTTCATAAATCTTGGCCAAAATTTATTCCGTTATCTTTTTAGTAAAAAAAAAAATAACCCAAATTAGTTTATAACAAAAAATTATAATTTTTAAAAAAAACATTTTTAAATTTTTATTTTATTTTCTTATATTATTATATATTTTTTTTTTACATACTGTTACCCTAGCAGTACAGTGTCACCATAGTGTGGGGGGTGATGAAGATTGTTTTACACTGTTTTACACTGATTGCTTTTACACCCATAAAGGATGTAAAAGCAATAATTTCTTCTTCTCTCTGGCTGCATTCTTGCAGCCATTGAGAAATATTGTGAGAGCTGTAATTGGTCACAGCTTGTCACATGGTACAAGGCTGTTGTGAATGGCCCTGTACCATGTGATCTCTGTGATCATTCACAGATTTCACACGTAGTAAGCAATGATGTCAGAAGTGACATCTTGCTTACTACTCTGCATGTGATCACCAGTGACCACATGATCGGGACCTCGCACAGAAGTCCCGTACAGCGATTGGTGTTCCGTTGTGTCTCGAGGGAGCGCGCACAGGCTACAATGGCGGGCGCCGTTTATGAACGGCAATCCGCTTGTGCGCTGCTCCCGTCCGGGGGGGTTTATATACATGGGCCAGACGGGAAGTGGTTAAGTGGCCTTACTGTGTGTCTGTACACCCTGACATCATCAAGGGGCCACAGGTAATATTCAGTGTATGTAATGTAGTGTTACCCCCGTAGGAGCCGCTGGTAATTGAATCAATTTCCCCCCCTCACAACATGCACAGCCAGGCACACGACATTTCTTCTATGGCTCAGGAAACAGTCTAGGGGTCTTCTTATTGGGGAACAAGGAGCTTGGCTAGGGATGGGGGCATGGGATACCCTGGACTGGGGCTGGGACAAGGGGTGGACAGGAGGGGCAGCTGCAATGGTTACCTATAAGAATGGGAGTGACTTCCTCCTATTACAAGGCAGGCAAGAGTAGTAACAGCTTGCATATCATGAACGGAGGAGGGGGGAGCAGTTTGGTATCTTTGCCATGGGCACTGGATGTCCTTGTCCCACAAATGCTGGCTGGATTGCACAGCTCCTGGCTACACCAGGAGAACATTACCCTGGGAGCGCGCAGCACCGTGATCCAGTGCCCGCTGTGTCCGGACTGATCACTGTACGGGACCTCTGTGTGAGGTCCTGATCATGTGATCACTGACTGGCCAATCAGTGATCACATAAACAGTAGTAAGCAAGATGATCATCGAGGTCACATGGTACAGGGCCATTCACAACAGCCTTGTACCATGTGAAAAGCTGTGACCAATCACAGCTCACACAATATTTCTCAATGGCTGCAAGAATGCAGCCAGAGAGAAGGAGAAATGATTGCTTTTAGAGCCTTTATGGGTGTAAAAGCAATCAGTGTAAAAAAAAAAAAAAAAAAAAACTTCATCACCCCCCACAAGTAGTACAGTGTCACCATGGTAATAAGCTAATTTGGGTTATTCTTTTTTACTGAAAAGATAACGGAATAAATTGTGGCCAAGATTTATGATGAAATATTATTTATTTGCAAAAATTTATAAGAAAAACACTAGGGGGTTACTAAAGAGCAGGGGATCCACAGATCTAAGGGTACTCCTGAGTGGGGGATCAGCAGAGCTGGGGGTTACTACATAGTGGGGGATCAGCAGACCTGGGGGTTACTACATACTGGGGGGATCAGCAGAGCTGTGGGTTACTACATACTGGGGGATCAGCAGAGCTGGGGGTTACTACATAGTGGGGGATCAGCAGACCTGGGGGTTACTACATACTGGGGGATCAGCAGAGCTGTGGGTTACTACATACTGGGGGATCAGCAGAGCTGGGGGTTACTACATAGTGGGGGATCAGCAGACCTGGGGGTTACTACATACTGGGGGATCAGCAGAGCTGTGGGTTACTACATACTGGGGGATCAGCAGAGCTGTGGGTTACTACATACTGGGGGATCAGCAGAGCTGTGGGTTACTACATACTGGGGAATCAGCAGAGCTGTGGGTTACTACATACTGGGGGATCAGCAGAGCTGGGGGTTACTACATAGTGGGGGATCAGCAGAGCTGGGGGTTACTACATAGTGGGGGGATCAGCAGAGCTGGGGATCTGCTTAACAAAGGTACCAATGTGCTGAGGATCTGCTGAGTGAGGGTACTACTGAGTGGGTCATCGACAGAGCTGGGAGTACTACTAAGGGGAGAGATCAGCAGAGCTGGGAGTACTACTGAGGGGGGGGGGGGGATCAGCAGAGCTGGGAGTACTACTGAGGGGGGGGAGTTGTAGAGCTGGGAGTAGTACTGAGCAGGGCATCCACAGGGCTGGGGGTTACTACTGAGTGGGGGATCCACAGAGCTGGGGGTACTACTGAGTGGAGCATCAGCACAGCTGGGGGTTACTAGTGAGTGGGGAATCAGCAGAGCTGGGAGTACTACTGAGCAGGGAATCCACATAGCTGGGTGTTACTACTGAGTGGGGCATCAGCAAAACTGGAGGTTACTATGAGTAGGGGATCAGCAGAGCTGGGGGTTACTACTGAGCAGTGGATCAGCAGAGCTGGGGGTTACTACTGAGCAGTGGATCAGCAGAGCTGGGAGTACTACTGAGCAGGGGATCCACATATCTGGGTGTTACTACTGAGTGGGGCATCAGCAGAACTGGAGGTTACTACTGAGTGGGGGATCAGCAGAACTGGAGGTTACTATGAGTGGGGGATCAGCAGAGCTGGGGGTTACTACTGAGTGGGGGATCAGCAGCACTGGGGGTTACTACTGAGTGGGGGATCAGCAGCACTGGGGGTTACTACCGAGTGGGGGATCAGCAGAGCTGGGGGTTACTACTGAGTGGGGGATCAGCAGAGCTGGGGGTTACTACTGAGTGGGGATCAGCAGAGCTGGGGGTTACTACTGAGTGGGGATCAGCAGAGCTGGGGTTACTACTAAGCAGGGGATCTGCTGAAGAAGGCTACTAATAACCTGGGGATCTGCTGAACAACTTTACCAATGAGCTGGGGATCTGCTGAGATACTAATGAGCTGAGGATCTGCTGAGTGGGGGTACTACTGAAAGGGCATCAGCAGAGTTGGGGGTTATTATTGAGCAGGGGATCAGCATAGCTGGGGTACTACTGGGAAGGGGATCAGCAGAGCTGGGGGTTACTACTTAGTGGAGGATCAGCAGAGCTGGGGATCTGCTGAACAAAGGTACCAATGTGCTGGGGATCTGCTGAGTGGAGGTACTACTGCGTGGGGCATCAGCAGAGCTGGGGGGTACTAATAAGCTGGGGATCTGCTGAGCCGGGGTTCTTTTGGACCCCTTTAAAACAATTGGAAAATCAGCCCAGGGCATCTGCCAAGCTTTATTAAAGCTTCAAAAAACCATCACAGAGGCACCAAAAACACATAAAAAATCGCTCTGATCCGGGATCTCTCGTCTTTTTTTTCTTTCCCTTCATAACCGGCTTTTCAGGGCCATTCCTTTAATGAGCGCCGGCGGCGGCATGCGAGGAACGCGCTCACACTGAGCGTCTTGATAACGGCATATTAAACATTCCACAGGAGACGGTCCGGGCCGTGAAATCAAATCTCTGCGAAAATATCTCCTTTATTACGCCTGGCAGCCTCTTCCCCGCGCCGCGCTCCCATTGGCCGCTCACAATCAGAAGCTGGAAGCCGGACAAGAGCAAAATATTCTGTTTTTTTTCCAATTTTAGCTTTTTGTACGGAACGGCGCGGCGTCCAGGTCTGCATCTCCGCTCTATGCAGGACTGACCATTCGAGCACTGCCTGAGGGCCCGGGGTCAGTAGGGGGCCCCGTGAAATGCCCCTGGTACCTTTTATAGGCTTTTTTTGAGTGTGGGCAAGGACACAGGGGCCCCATGATCCCCTATTACCTGGGGGCCCCATGAGTTGTCAGTCTGCCCCTGGCTCTATGTGTTTGTATAGCAGGATTAATGCGGATTTGCCTTTTTCTGCCGCCATCTTGGCGAGGCACAGAGGCCCCTCCCAGCTCTGAGGAAGGAATACATTACAAACTCTCTCCAAAAAAAGACACAAAGTATCACTTTTCTATCTTCTGGGATCAGCGTCTGAGATCTTATTTGTGCTTCTTGTGTCATGTGACCTCTCCAGGTATTTCTTACCTCTCATAGAGATCTCAATGCCTTTCTCCCCCCAGAAGGACGGCGCCATCTTTGTTCAGGCATCATCCAGGGTCACCGTCTACATCCTGGACTCAGAGATGGCACAATCATGTCATTCCTGGTGCCTGTTCACAAATGCCTGACACAGATCAGCCCCTGCCACAGCCACTCAGAAAGTTACAATGTACAGTCTGATCACTGGGGGAGGGGAGACTGAGGAAATGCCTCCTCCTCTTCTACAAAGTTACAATGTACAGTCTGATCACTGGGGGAGGAGAGACTGAGGAAATGAGTCCTCCTCCTTCTACAAAGTTACACTGTACAGTCTGATCCCTGGGGGAGGAGAGACTGAGGAAATGTCTCCTCCCCCTTCTACAAAGTTACAATGTACAGTCTGATCACTGGGGGAGGGGAGACTGAGGAAATGCCTCCTCCCCCTTCTACAAAGTTACAATGTACAGTCTGATCACTGGGGGAGGGGAGACTGAGGAAATGCCCCCTCCCCCTTCTACAAAGTTACAATATACAGTCTGATCACTGGGGGAGGGGAGACTGAGGAAATGCCCCCTCCTCCTTCTACAAAGTTACAATATACAGTCTGATCACTGGGGGAGGGGAGACTGAGGAAATGCCCCCTCCTCCTTCTACAAAGTTACAATGTATAGTCTGATCACTGGGGGAGGGGAGACTGACGAAATGCCTCCTCCTCCTTCTACAAAGTTACAATGTACAGTCTGATCACTGGGGGAGGGGAGACTGAGGAAATGCCTCCTCCTCCTTCTACAATGTTACAATGTACAGTCTGATCACTGGGGGAGGGGAGACTGAGGAAATGCCTCCTCCTCCTTCTACAATGTTACAATGTACAGTCTGATCACTGGGGGAGGGGGGGCTGAGGAAATGCCTCCTCCTCCTTCTACAAAGAATAAAAATAACTTGGCAGCTTTAGCTCTGATTCAGCGAATTAGCTGAACTTGAATTGAATTCCAAACAAATTTGAAAATGAAATTCGAAATATAAACATATTGCTGATGTCCTCCAAAGACTGTGTGTATTAGTGTTAGAATACAGCCTTCTTCTGAAATTAGAATTTAGAAAACAATTGCATAAAACAGAATGGAATATAATAGAAAAAAAAGGAACAGAATATAAAAAAGAATAGAATAAAACAGAATAGAATAGAATAAACCAGAAAAAAAATAGAATGAATATAGCCATCTTCCAAAAATTTTGAAAAGAATAGAATAGAAAAGAGTAGAAATGAAAATAATAGAATAGAACAGAAGAAAATAGAATAGAAAAAAACAGAATAGAATATTAGCTGTCTTCTGAAATTTGAATTCCCAGAAGAATAGAATAGAATAAAAAGAGAACAGAATAGAAAAGAATAGAATTGAAAATAAAGGAAAATAATTTATAAAAACCCCAGAACAGAATAGAAAGAATATAGCCATCTTCCAAAATTTGAATTTCGGAAAGAATAGAAATAATAGCATAGAAAATAATAGAATAGAACAGAAGGAATACAGCTGCCTTCTGAAATTTGAATGTTGAATAGAATCGGCTATTCATGGCATCGCTTTGAGATTTTTTGATTCAAAAACTCCCATCGAAAACAAAATTAGTGACTTAACGAATCGATCCGAAACAAAACAATTTTTTTTTTCGTTCTGCACGACTCTGATTTAAAGTGGAAGTTCAGCTGGGATTTAGGGCAAGTGATCCCGGGGGGGGGGGGGGATGGGGGGAATGGGCGATATCCAGGCCTGCTCCCGTCTTCCCCCTCTCATGGTCGTCCTGACACCCCAGGAGCGCCGGACTCCGCCCCGCATAACACCCCCCCAGCCCTCCGGAACACTGGCCGGGGAACGGGTTAATGCGGTTAATTTGAGGCTTCGCAGTTTGGGCGCCGCTGGATGTGAAGCGCGGCCGTGACACTGTAAATATTTGACAGTCATAACACGCCGTCCGCGGACGTTCTGCGATTAATTCCATCTGTGGATCCGAGCGGAGGAGCCGAGAGAAAAACGCTGAACAAATAAGGGGCGAGCGACGATGCCCCCCCCCCCTCCCGAGAGCCAGGAAATTCAAAATAACCGACCCGGGACAAAAGCGATGCCGAGCAGCCGGGTCACCCTAAGAAAAGAAGAAGAGCGTTCGATAGAAGGTACACCAAGGATCCATTCACACGTATGTGACTTGTCATGTGACTCCAAAGTCACATGACGAGTCGCCCCCCCCAATGGATACCATTCACATTTGGGTGACTCCAAAATCGCATGACAAGTGGCCCCCCCAATGTTTCCCAATGGATACCATTCACATTTGGGTGACTCCAAAATCGCATGACAAGTGGCCCCCCCAATGTTTCCCAATGGATACCATTCACATTTGGGTGACTCCAAAATCGCATGACAAGTGGCCCCCCCAATGTTTCCCAATGGATACCATTCACATTTGGGTGACTTCAAAGTAGTTCTCAGATGATGCGAGTACCCTATAAAATAAGGTCCTGCACCAAGATGGCGGCCGGAGATCTCGAGAGGTTGCAACGACCAATCAGAGAACTGGCTCCTTTGAGATACTGATGGAGTCCCTAGGGGGACAATTCCCCTAACAGACTCCACGCCATTTGTAAGAATGACACAGCGCCCCCTACAGAGCGGAGGGGGACCTGCACCTGCCCACAGGTGGGTCACCAGTTATATTTCTGTACTTGAAGTGTCTATAAAGGGATAAAACATGGCGGATGAGCCCCCTCACTAGCGGGATCTCTGTCCCTGACCAACCACTTGCTCCAGTTGTGCCCAAATGATGTGGAAGCCCTATAAAATAAGGGCCTGCACCAAGATGGCGGCCGGAGATCTCGAGAGGTTGTAACGACCAATCAGAGAACTGGCTCCTCTGAGACTCTGATGGAGTCCCTGACCGACCACTCGCTCCAGGCGTGTCTGAATGGCAAGGGTACCCTATTATATAAGGCTCCACACCAAGATGGCCACCAGAGATTTCGAGGGGTTGCAGCGACCAATCAGAGAACTGGCTCCTCTGAGACAATTCCCCTATCAAACTCCACGCCATTTGTAATAGTGGCACAGCGCCCCCTGCAGAGCGGAGGGGGACCTGCACCTGCCCACAGGTGGGTCACCAGTTATATTTCTGTACTTGCAGGGTCTTTAAAGGGATAAAACATGGCGGATGAACCCCCCTCATTAGTGGGATCTCTGTCCCTGACCGACCACTAACTCCAATTGTGCCCAAATGATGCGGGTACCCTAAAAAAAAATAAGGTCCTGCACCAAGATGGCTGCTGGAGATCTCGTGAGGTTGCAATAACCAATCAGAGAACTGGCTCCTCTGAGATACTGATGGAGTCCCTAGGGGGACAATTCCCCAAACAGACTCCATGCCATTTGTAAGAATGACACAGTGCCCCCTACAGGGCGGAGGGGGACCTGCACATGCCCACAGGTGGGTCACCAGTTACAGTGGGGATCGAAAGTTTGGGCACCCCAGCTAAAAATGTGTATTAATGTGCATAAAGAAGCCAAGGAAAGATGGAAAAATCTCCAAAAGGCATCAAATTACAGATTAGACATTCTTATAATATGTCAACAAAAGTTAGATTTTATTTCCATCATTTACACTTTCAAAATAACAGAAAACAAAAAAAAATGGCGTCTGCAAAAGTTTGGGGCCCCCTGCAGAGTTAATATCTTGTACTGCCCCCTTTGGCAAGTATCACAGCTTGTAAACGCTTTTTGTAGCCAGCCAAGAGTCTTTCAATTCTTGTTTGAGGTATCTTTGCCCATTCTTCCTTACAAAAGTCTTCCAGTTCTTTGAGATTTCTGGGCTGTCTGTCACGCACGGCTCTTTTAAGGTCTGTCCATAGATTTTCAATGATGTTGAGGTCAGGAGATTGTGA